CTGGAAAAGCCCTTGCAGCCAGGATTCCTGGAATTGCCATTGAAAAAGCTCTCCCAGCCGGGATTCCGGGAATTTCCAGGGCCGAGGCTGAAGGCCCGGGAGGCTCCGGGGGGAAACTGAGGCACAGAGAGGGGGGACGTGCTCCTGAGCCAGGTGTTCTGCCCGGGAAAGGGAGCGGCACTGGGATCAGGAGAGACTGGGATGTGGGGCAGTGGGAGTGGGCACTGGGAATGGGAACTGGGACTGGGATTGGGAACTGGGACCGGGATTGGGAACTGGGACCGGGATTGGGAACTGGGACCTTGCACTGGGCTCGAGCACTGGACCGGGACCGGGGCACTGGGAGTGGCACCGGGATTGGGCACAGGAACCGGGCACCGGGACCGTGCAGTGCGATCGGGAATCGTGACTGGGACCGGGATCGGGAGCCGGGATCGCCACTGGAATGGAGCACCGGGACCGGGACCAGCTCTGGGAACGAGGACCAGGATCGCTCACTGGGAGCGGGAACCGGAGCGGGATCGGGCACCGTGACAGGGAGCGGGACCCGGCACCGGCGCTGGGACCCGGCACTGAGATCGAGCAGCGGCACCGGGGCCGGGTGCCGGGGGCGGCGGCGGTACCGAGCCCCGGAACCACACGCCAGGAGCGGCCCCGGCCCGGCCCGGCCCCGCACGGAGCAGCCGCGCTCCCGCCGAGCCCGCCCGGCTCTTCCGGCGGCGCCGGGAGGAGGAGGAGGAGCCGCGCGGGGAAGGTCACCGGGAGCGACACCGGCAGCGGCACCGGGACCATGCTGCGGCCCAGACCGGCCGCGCTCGTTCCGCTGATGAGGGCGTCGGGGGGCGGCCACCGGTGCCGGGAGCCCTGGGGCGGGGCGCGGGTCCCGTCGCTCTGCTCCGCGCCGCCCCCGCAGCCGGTGATCGCCGCCAAGGAGCCGTTCCCGGTGGAGCTGCAGGCGGGGAAGACCTACGGCTGGTGCTCCTGCGGGCACAGCAAGCGCCAGGTCGGGCCGGGGGGCCTGGAGGAACCGGGAGGGTCCGGGAGAAGCGGGGTGCCCGGGATAAGCGGGGTGTCCGGGAGAACCGGGGGGCCCGGGAGAACCGGGTGAGTCCCGGAGAATCGGGGGGGTCCGGGAGAACCGGGGTGTCCGGGAGGTTCCGGGCGTTCCTGGGTCGGGGACTCTGCGGTGGCTCCCGGGGGGCTCCAGGGGATCTGGGAACCCCCAGAGGGGTCTGGAGGGTCCGGGGGCTCTGGGGCACCGCCAGCCCCGAATTGGGATGTGTGCAGATGCCGATGGGGCCAGGGCAGGAGCAGCCCCACAGGAACCCCCCAGCCCCGGAGAAGGAGGTTTTGGGGCGCTTTTGGGGTTCTGCTCTCCCGGGAGCTCCAATTCCCAGGGATGCGCTGCCCAGGGATGGGATGGGATGGGA